TGTAACTGGTCCAGAGTCCCATATCTCCATCAAGCATCTTTATCGTACGTATATTGCGCTCTGCCAAACCATTCGATTTTGGGTTATAAGATGCCAATATAAAATATTTTATTTTGTTTTAAAAAAAATGTTTTGAATTCAGATCCAATAAACTGAGTACCGCTATCTGAAACAATGTAGCTAAGTAACCCAAATCTAGCGAAATAATTATGCAGATTATTTATTAAACTGGCCAAATTAATATGAGTTAAAATTATAACTTCAACTAATTTGGTGAAAGCGTGTACTAAAATTAACCAATACTTTCCAGATACTGTGCCTATCAAATCAATGTATATTCGTTCCCAAGATTAGGTAGGAATGTTCTAATTGTATAACTGGACTTCTAAGGCTCTCGGTCTTCCTTCCAGGTAAATCTTGCGGAATTAAACATAATATTTTACATCGTGATCAAGATTTGCCCAAAAAACATAGTATTTGCATAATGATTTCAACCACAATATCCCAGGATTTCCTTAATAAATAACATTCAGAACCTCCTTTTTTAGATTGGCAGGGATAATAACCCTTTTTCGAAAGTAATATTATCTTTAATTAAAAAATATATTTTTAAAATTTCTGAGTAATTATTTATATTATCAATATGCCAATGATTTTTAATTAATTTATTAATCCCTTTCAGATTGACATCATTGCTCGTTTCACTTACTATTTTACTGCGAGGAAATAAATCTTCTATTTTAATTTTTAAATCTTTGATTTTATTTTCGATTTTTTTTGTAAACTCATAGGTTTTTGCTAGCTCTACCCTTAAACGGGATAAAGTATCCCCACATTTGTTTTAATTTCCAGGACTATGAATTCTCTTAGTCGTAATATAATAGCTTCGTCACCAACAATGTTAAACGGCTATATGTTATTTCATTTAGGTCTCTTTTATTACCCAAGATATATTTTAAGGGTTTGTAATCTGCAAAATAAAATGTCTTACATAATTATATTAATGGAACTTATCGATAGCGAACATGATTACCGTAGCTTCTCGAACAATGGTGGCGTAATTCTTTTTAGCCATTGAAAGCATAGATGCGAACCAGGCAAGATTTTTGACATGGTTCGGTTCGGGTTAGGTTTGAGGTTAAAAAAAAATAGGTGGGTTCGGTATGGGCTTGGTTCAGGGAAATATTTTTGAACCCAAGTTTGGTTCCGGGTTCAGCTCGGGTTCAAGAATTTTTGAATTGATAAAAAAAATTCTACATTTAAATCTTAATAGAAAACTAGACATAGATTTGGTATAAAAAATTAATTTTTTTATTTTATTTATGGGCAAAATATAGTTAAAATACAAAGCATAGTCATATTTCTTTAAATTAACAATATCTAATATAATAGATTTTACTTTGACTGGTTCACTTTCATTTTCCTCTAATCAATAGTCTTTGAGAATAAGTTAAAAATTAAAAATAAATGGCGTAAATGAATTTAATTGTTTAAAATTTATTAATACTCCAATAGGAATCTTTGGGAATAAATTTAAAAAAATTTACAAATGACGTAAATGAATTAAGTTGATTAAAATTTATTAACACTTCACTTAATTGGAAATTTGAAAATATTGTAAAATCTTATATGATTTTAAACAATACACTGAACCCGGTTGAACCCGGGTTCAAAATAAAAATCCCGAGTTCGGTTCGGGGTTTTGAAAATTTTATAAACGGGGTTCAGGTTTTCGGGTTCAGATTTTTTTCCCCAAAACCCGGGTTTTCTTTTCTAGGTTCTGGTTTAATTCGAAACTCTGGTCGAAAGTGTCCATGATGCGTACTCAAGCGGTTTCTCCTGGCCAGTAAGAAATCGATGTCAATACAGCTACCATTTTAGGAAGCGTCGCAAGAAATCACGCCATATGACTGGATAAGGAATTATTGTATCCTCTTTTGATATATTTTTAACTTTATATAATATTTTATTTCTTAAGCTGACCAAAGCCAACTAACATTTTAACTCATTTGTCAGTGTAATGGCGCGGAAATAGAATGTAAATGTATATATATGGTAATTCACCATCACAGGAAATGAACGTAATTCTTTCACATTAACTGTGTTTTAAATTTTTTATGGCAATAATTTTATCTTCTGTAGAGTGAATTCCAAATTTGTCACATGGCCCAAATAAGTAACTGACTTTTCTCCAATTTTATTTTTATCGATTGTCATAGTCAGTCCAGCCTTATCAATTTTCTAATTACTTTTAAATTAACTACATGATCAAATTTATTCTCTCCCGCAATTATTAGGTTAATGATGCTTGGTACCTTAAGGTACCATCTATCAAATTTGAATTTTGTTCATTTTTCATTTGGATAGGCACTACCAAATATATTTATAATATATATTTGAAAAATCGTGATTTGTAAGCCTCTATGGCCTAGTAGGCAAGAGCTTGGTTTACTTATCCCATGCTCCCGGGTTCGAATCCCGGGAATGATCATGTTTTTTTTCTTATTCTAACTTGGTGGTTCCATCCTTGGGGGGATAATATATAGGAGGCCGGACTCGACCACGTGATTCCGTATTAATATATTAAATAATAAGGATCTTATTACATTTTAATAAATTTTGGTCGATATTTAGCAAATTAAGTTGGTATTTAGAATATTTCCATACATTCACTTGGTAGTAAGCATCATTAACCCAATTATTACGTCGTAAATAAACATGTCATAGGAATTCCTTTTATTAGGTTTTGTATAAGGCGTTGAAATATTATCGGAGCGCTAATCAATCCAAAAGGGATTCTTAAGTATCATGAATAACTGACATGAGTTGATATTACTACAAGGTCCTTAAATCTTGGCCTAACTCCGAATTATATACATAAATGCATCTCTTAAACCTATAGTCAAAAATATTTTACCACCCGCTTTACTATTTATCAGGTCAGTGAAAGTTGGTAATAAATCGTTATCTATTATGAAATATTTGTTTATTGTTAAACGAAAATTTCCACATGTCCGCATGGCACCGGATTTTCTTAAGATATTAACTGTTGGCGTAGCCCAAGTGATTGGAGTTGTTGTTGGATCCACCTTTTCGATAACGGAATCATCTAAAAGTGTATCCAAATCATCTTCATTATATGACAAAGCGGAAATGGAACTCCTCTTGCTAGTAAAGCTATTGTTAATGCCTTTGGTTGTATGCGGATAACTACTTGTTGGAGTTTAATTAAAAAACCTAAGAAATTTTGATGCAATAGTATTTAAACCGGGAACATTCATATTTATATTGCTTATCTGAACTTCTTCCGCAAGTTTTATACCTAATTCTCTAAGAAAATACATTCTAATAATAAGTGAATTCTCTCTTTAATCAAATACGTAAAACTTAAGAAATTTTTTTACTTCGACTTCTTCTGTATATTTACCTAACACTTAGATTTTGATATAGTTAACCCCACTAGTTTATAAGCAGGCTCGAAAGCATTTGACTTTTTTTGGTAGGAAATTAAGTATAGAAACGAGATTTATATATGATTGAATTTGTTGACATTTTAACTATTAATAATATATTTATTACCTCTATTATAACTATTATTACTAAAATATATGTTTTTTGAATCTTATGTCGGCTTATGTTAATGGTTTTGTTAACTTCTATTTGAGTTTCCTTTTCCAAGGAAGAAAGCTCGATCGCTAAACTCACCTTATTTTCAAAAGTGATATTCTTCAATATACGTTAATTGAAGCTTTTTATCCAACTCGGGCAGCCCTACTCCTAAGATAAAATTATCTCTTAAAAGTTTATCAACAAACGATTAAAAATTACATAGTGAGCAAATACTTTTTAATTTGATCGAAAAATCTATAATAGTTTCTCCGCCTCTTTTTAAGGTGTTAAAATTATTTCGATGTAGGAAAATACTAGTGATATCCTTAAATATTTTCTTCAACTATCAAGTAAAGTTATGTAATTATTAAATTAATTGTGTAATGGAAATTTATTATTTTAATTAAGTTATGCTTACCTATGTACGCTAGTAACAAATCTTTTTTTAAATTATGATCGAATTTTTTACTTTAAAGGTGAGTTCTAAATTATATACATAGTCCTGAATGTTAATTTTTTATTTAAAGAATTCTGGAATATGATGTTGATGCTTCTTCGTTTTTTTTCAGAACTATCTTCGAATTTTTGTTAGACATAGCATAATATCCATCATCTCTATAACCTTTTAATTTATTACGTTTCTTTAAACTTAATCACTTAATCATCGCCATTGTGGTGTTTAAGATATAAAAGGTTTCATAAAAATAATTTTAATAAAATGAAAATATCAAAAGATAATTTAATTTTAACAATTAGTGTTGTTAAACGGCTCATTTTGAGCCGATTTTTAAAAACGGCTAACTCAATATTTTATTAAGAAAAATATTATGCAAGCCTCAAGATTTTGCTTATTGGTGGCACAAAGGTTTGGACATCTATTAGTGAAATCTCGAGACTTAAACAATATTATTCTGGCGAAAATATTGAGTAAGCCGTTTTTAAAAATCGGCTCAAATCGAGCCGTTTAACAACACTATTAACAATAATATGTTTATATATTCATCGAAGTACATTTACGATAATCAATCAATTACCATATCCTTAAACAAAATACAATTTAAAGTAAATACTTTACAAATTTCATACCCCATTACGACATACGTTTATAGATTAAGATGATTACGACATATCTTTTTAAAAATTAGGCTATATAATGAAATTTTTAATATGCTTTTAATTTAATTACAGCCCCATTTTGAAGCTGAATAATAATAGTTTTTTAGTTATAATATAATACGACCTCTATAAGATAATATTTATAAAATATGTTTTTTTGGGTGATTTGGCTGACTTATTATATATATAGCTTAATTGTTAATTATATTTAAATAATATAAAATAATTTGATAAATAATTATATAGAAAATAAAGTTAAACAAGAAAGAATTTGATTTTTTATTAATTAAAATTTTTACATTTCCCGCAATATAAATCACTAAAATAATAATTAAAATATTGATAAAGTAAAATCTATTTTTTCCTCCTTTGTAATCCTTGTATTACATTAAAAATTTTCGCTATTCTATTATAATCTATTTTTCTTTGCCTGACAATTGGGGTGAGAGATCCCTCAACATGTGCATCTTTATTTATTTTTTATTGAAAAATATTAATATTTATAAAACTAATATAAATATATTTGTAATACCTGAATTTATGCTAAATTTTACGGCTTTTATATTAAGAATAAATAGGAATATTATGAGTTACCAATCGGAATTAACTGTAAGTTTAACCAGACAAATAAGGTCAAAATATATTAGCTTATCATTTATGTTAAATATATCTCATAATAGTTATATAAATTGATAGAATGAATTAAATATCATATAGCACTATGTTAATCAGGCCTCAAAAAGGATAACCTTAATAAATCTGATCTTAAATCTCAAAAAACAATATTAACCAAACTATCTATTCTAGATTGTCAAGTTCCCTCTCATAATACGTTTTTTATAAAGAAAGCAATCTAATATAAAATGATCTGTAAATGATAGTACCAAGTTTCACATCAGTGTAATTACCTGATTTTCAAAAGAACACAGCTTATTAATAACTTACCCAATTGATAACAATTGCCAAGATCCCTCGTAAATTCATATTTTATATATATTTCACAATCTATTATTTAAAACAAATAGCCAGATCCTGCAATATTTTATTATAGAAAACAACGCACTATAAAGTTTTTTACATTAATTACTATTAGCTAAATGTGAGCATCTTCTATAAATTAAAATAACTACAAATTTTCTAGAAAGTAAATCTTTTTAAGTTCAACTTAATTTTCAAAAATAAATTAGTTAGTGTAGTAATAAAATATAAAGCGATTTTAACTTTGACTTCGTAAAATTGTTTAAAACAAGAAAATGTAATAACTCAGTTGAATCCGAAGAAAAACTTCAAATGAAGAGGAAATATTACTTGAATGAAAGTGTTTCTTTTTACAGGTAAAAACTTGAAAATAAAATAAATTAGTGAAGAAGAAATTTTAACAACACTTTAAAATAAACCATAGATATCTGATTATATCAATTGGTTAACGCTATTTTCATCATATTCAAAGATAATTTGAACCACAATAGCTAATAAATAAAGTAAAGCAATTCTAACGAAAATCTAAAATAATAAATTTAATATTAATAATAATAATAAGAGTAATAATGATATATTAATTGGAATCATATAGGCATACTTTGTACTGCGGATTGAGCTATAGATGAACAAGTCAAGGTTAAAGCAATCAATATCTAAGTGCCATTAAATGATTAATAGAATTATGTTTTATTAAAACGAGTGTATATAACTACCAATATAAATCCAGAATTAATATTTAACATTTTATAAGTTATAACAAATTCAATGAGAAAGTTTAATATAGTATTATAAAAATAATATAATGGAATAATATTTTGTGAATTTTTTGTATTTATATTAATTTTATTTGGTTTTGGTGCCTTCTTTTTAATAAAATAAATATAATAAATAAATAAGTAATTTCCATTATACGTTTCAGTTCAATAATATTTCTTTTAATATTATGGCCATTTTTTCGGTTTAAAGAAATTTATAACTTTGAGAAAAAGATATGATATCTAACAAATAGCTTTAATTTATTATTTTATTTTAAAGGTTATTCAAATAATCTTTATTAAATAATATTCCCCCTTTTAACAAATTATACTAAGAGAGGAGGTGTTCCTAGTCCAACATATGATTAATTTCATCCTAATGGGACTGATACGATATGTTTGAACTGGCGATTAACTTGGAATGCTATTCACTTGCCTGTACTTACAACTGTATTTCATTAAATTAATTTAAGTGCTCTTTAAAAACCTAGATAAATTAAATCTGCATTTAAAAATATAACCCATGTAAAAAGACAAAAAATTAATATAATTTGCTCTCGGTAGGTCAAAATTAGCCTATTAATATTCTATTTTTATTTATTGATTTTTGAAGGTTATTATGCTAATTTTAAACTATTTTTAAAAGACTTAAAATAAACATAAATTTGTTTTTTTAACACTGTATAACACATTTTTAAATAGCCAATTGTTTTATAAAATATTAAAATTAATTAGGTAAACAATATGAAGAAGATAAATGTATAAGGTTATGAAATTAATTAGTTTATGCAAATCTTCAAAAGTAGAGATAATAATGATAGGTATAAAAACATATTTAATTATTTTCGAATATTTTGTTTTGATAATGTCAACAGCATTCAAAAATTCAAACCATCTAATAAAATATATAATTAAGGTAAGAATAGGAGGAAATTTACAAACTAGATTTTTTTGAATAAATATTTAAAATTTATTTTAAAAATAAAAATAATCAAATACTGTTTCTCAAAGGTATTATTTATATATTAAAAACGTTAAAATTCAAAAAAAAAATGTGCGGAAGAAATTAAAAATGTAGATTTTTGTGGCATTTTTTACGAGTGAGTATGCGCGTAAACTAAAAAATTGCCGTATGTCTCTCACTGATGGGGGGAGACTTGATAACACTACTCATACCATCGATTTAAAAATTTACAGTTTCTTTGAACTTAGTAATTGAGATAGAATTTGTAATGAAAGGGTTTTGACCCCCAAAACTCGCCCTTCTATTTTATAAAATCATTAGTGTCAACTCGATATTTAAAAATAATTTTATTGGTTGGTTTCGTTCTTTTATTATTTTAATTTAGATAAATATAAGCCAGCCCAGCTACTTTATTATTTTTTTTAACCCATCTGCCCTTTGTTGCAAAAATGTTATCTGCCTGTCCGTAGCCCTGGCGTGACTACCTAAATAATAAATTAATTTCTATAGACTTAAAATAATATAGTATACAAATAATCCTATAAAATCAGTTTATCTTGGAAATTTAACAATATATCTACCCTCTCGTTAATCTTTTAACTCTACATGTCCTGACCTCATCCAAGAGCGTTCAATAAAACATTTTTCTCCTGTGGACAGATTTCTATTCTCTTACCAAGAATAGGTTCAAGAAATTTGCAAAAAGACTGTGTTTAGATAATGATGAACTCTATTATCAAACAAATTTTATTATTAATTATAAAGAAATGGAATTTATTTTACCGAACAAACAAATTTCATTTTATTTTTATCGAATAAAGTATATTTTTTTATTGATAAAATTATATTTTCACATGTCAAATTTTTATTTTTACCGATTAAAAATTATTGGCCCATTTTGTATTAAATCCTGGTAGGGGAGGAGAAACCGGGGTGAGCGATTAACCTGGTAACAAGGTTAACGCGAATTACATTTTAATCCAAAGACCTTAAATTTGGGGTGAAGCTGAAGATACATTTATATATAACTTTTGGGAAATATGCCTTATCCTTTTTCAAGGAACTTGGCTCTCACATCCGTCAACTAACCGGTGAACCCCGCGAAGGCTTCTTCTTAAGACAAAGACTCGCCATAGCGATACACAAGGCAAATTATATTAGCTTCATAGGCAGTCTCATTCCACAAGATGATCCATTTTAACCTCAATACTTTTTACTGGTCCCCCCCTCTCTTTTTGTTTTTTTTTCTCCTTATTACTAATATATATAATATTGTATACATTAATATAGTTTATATGAAAGTATTTCTTATCTATTATGCTCATCTTTTGAAAAAATTTAATGGTTTGATATATTTTGTTAAAAAATAGGTTTTTACCCATAAATTATAAAAATCATCCTCGAGTTTATTTTTTTTGATTATAGCAAAATTTAAAATTAGAAATTTGTTTACCTGTTCCTAAGTAATTGGTATAAAATACAATTTATCGATAGTTTTTAGCTTAGCTAGAAGTCAAACATTGATGATTTTTACAATATATATCATCATGGGGTAAAGTTGTTATGGGCGAAATGGTTAAAATGTTATTAAAGCTGTAAAAATATAATCTTTAGATATTAACGCTACATTATAAAAGGATATTTCTGAGTAAAATGGAAAATGATTTGAGTTATTGGAATAAAATTTTAATAGTTCAAAGAGAAAAAATAAGTGAAATTTACGAAATGCTTGAAATTGGCACACTTAAAATGCACTATTTTGATTTTTTTTAAAAAAATTTACATTCCCGCATTGTATTGACTAGTTTATACTTAAAAGTGATCAATAGATGTAATAAAAAACTATTATAAAACAATAATAAAGTTATGTTTTATTGTAATTCACATACTTAATCATAAGCTTCTGATAGAGATTAATTTTATAGATGAGGATATAGTTACATATGAATCTTTATTATCTTCTGTTTTGTATTTGTTTCAAAATTTTATGATAAAAATGCATAGTATACGAATTGATTTACCCCCGTCTCCTCAAAATTAAAAAAATATATTAAAAAAATATATTTTAATTTTTCGCCGTTATATTTTAATTTTTTTTGGTTTTGTCCATAAAAATATGTCGTAAACCATTTCCCAGTGATAAATTTTTATTTGCTTAATTTAACTAGGTATAAGCTGCTGTGACTTCAAATTTAATTTAATGCTGAGTAATTCTGAGGTTCAGGGGCGGACTGGCCATAAAAGTAAGTGGATATTTTGCTTATGTAACTGAAGATAATGTCGATTTTTGAAGGCAATTAGAAAAAAAATAAATCAATAAATTATCCCTTATATCATATCATATTCATATATTTTATAATTCTTTCCAAAACATTATTACTTATATTTATATTAGATCTAAATAAGCTTTACAGTACAATTAATATACTATGCCAACTGGTTGGGACATTTAATTTTAATTTTCTCATAAGTGGTATTATTGTTATCATCATAACTTGAATCGGAAATTTACAAACGGGTCAGGGTATTGAATGCTATCAAGTAGTATATTCGATGTTAGATCTATTTGTATTTATGCATTTTCTAGAATAAAAATTTATAAAAAAGAAAAATATTTTCTGGACTTATCCAAGAGTGAGGAGATATCCTCAATTATTTAATGGCTTTAGGAATATTAGATGATAGCCGGTATACGATTATATGAACTAACGTATTTTTGAATCTAAGTTAAATTAGAGTCTTACTTGGGAATCTAGATTGTGGATGACTAGACAATTTAGAAGTAGTCCTAAAGAAGTATCTTCTTGGATACTCTTCTGAGTGGTTTGGAATAGACCAAAAGTAGGGGGGGGGGTATAGACTCGTAGGATTTGATATGTCAATTATTGTATGCATTTTAAAATCGAGCTTGCAGATATTATAATCTGAAAGTAAGTTGTTTAGATATATCCTCAGGATATTTTAAGTGATTTCATAACCACGTAGGAGTTAAGTTGATACCCTAAAAAATCTTAGCAATTAACCACCTAAAAAAAGATCCTCTATTTATTTGACAATATGTTTAAAGAAAAAAACGATAGATATTTTATGGCAGTTCCCGTTTTTTATCTCCGGTTTGTGACATTAAAATTAATTTAACACTATTGAACCATACAATAAAAAATAGACTATATAATGAAATTTAAAATATGATGATAATTTTTTTTAATCCAGAGATATCTACAATAAAAAAGATTTTGATGAATTTGCATATTTTTGACTTTTATGGCCTATAACTCAGTCCGCGTTTGAAGTTGAATGAAGGCTAAATTCATTTGGTTATAATATAAAACTCTATAAAAAATATCTTGGAAAAAATTTAAAGGGATTACATTGGCAATCGAGAATTCGGATATGACATTTTATACTATATAATAATTCAACATTCAAACTTATATAAGAAAGAATTTGATTTCTAAATTAATTAGAATCTTCCCATTTTTATTAATTAAATACAATCCAAAATATAATTTTCAAAATTTAGTGTAAAATAAAATTAAGCATAAAATAAAATTTTATTCCTTACATTTTTTTAAGCTGATATTATATTAAAGATTCTTGTAAGTGCAGTATAATCAAATGTTGTTAGTTCGACAGTCATTGGGGCAACACGTCTAACCCTATTTAAATCTCAATTTATTTTTTGGATCGAAAAATATTAATATTTATGAATAATATAAAATAATAATACTGGAATTTATGTTAAAATTTTAGAGATATCATATCAAAGGTAATTAGGAAATTTAGGGTTGTTTGTCAATTCATCAATGAAATATGACAGAATAAGCTAAAATGTTATTTTTGTTATTAAATATATCACATAATAATTGTCACGCACTTCGATAGAATTAAATAACAGTGTAAAAAGGTTTTACATTTTAAAGATACTCTATGAATCTAACTCTTAATCCTAAAAAAATAATATCAACAAAAAAATATTTATATTTATAGTAATACTGATGACGGTATCACGTCAATTCGGCGCGGAAAATTCGGCGCGGAAAATTCGGCGCACGACAATTCGGTATAGAAAACTCGGCGCGGCATCAATTCGGCGCATCGTCAATTCAGCGCGGCGACAACTCGGCGCATCGTCAAATCGGCGCGGCGTCAATTCGGCGCATCGTCAATTCAGCACGGCGACAACTCGGCGCAACGTCAATTCGGCGCGGCGACAATTCGGCGCAACGTCAATTCAGCGCGGCGACAACTCGGTGCAACGTCAATTCGGCGCGTGTCTAATACAGTTGCAATTTATTATAAAATTATTAGTGTAAAAAAAGGATGATTAAATAGAAATGATTTTGAATGTTGGTCATATTAATTATTTCTTCGTATTTTTTTTTACAAATGTGTAATATCAATAAAAAAAATTAACAACCAATAATTATTCCGATTTCCTTGCTGGACCAATTTACCACGTTATAAGGTAGGGGAGACTGGGGTTAGTCGGACCGATTTATACAAAATTTAGCTCCTGATTTTTTTAGATAATATAAAAAAAATATATGATTAGATACCTAAAACTATACTCTATAAAGGTTCCTTATAAAAAATTTTAAAAATATAATCATTTTTTTTTGAATTTTACTTTTTGTAAAAGAACAATTTTGTCCAACAAGCCCCAATAGCGGGTAAAGTAAGGCAAGTTATATATAAAAATTGAAACTTAATTTTGGTTAATTTAATAAACATTTTGTATTTTTTTCATTATTATCTGCCATAATTGACGTGTATGGTTTAGCAAGCCCTGCTATCTCTAAATTTCTGGATATAATAAATACTCATTCTCAAATTATAAAAACTTCATCAATATAAATAAAATATTGATAAAATTTTCAAAAGATTTTTACATGACAGAAATTTTATTAAAATTATAATCATTTATATATAAATTAAATTTTATAGCAAAGTTTAAACACTCTTCTATAATTTGGGAAAGTTTTATGAGTATTTATTATATCTATAAATTTAGAGCTAGCAGGGCTTGCTAAACCATACACGTCAATTATGGCAGTTAATAAAAAAAATTACAAAATCTTGAAAAGGCAATTTCATGGCTGTTTATGATTGGTATTTATGATTTATGCTAAGAAATCATAATATCTCCTTTATGTCCAAAATGTTTATTAAATTAACCTAAATTAGGTTTCAATTTTTATATATAATTTGCTTCAATTTATAAGTATTATGAAATTTTTAACAATAAAACAATAAAATTATTCTATACGTATCATTATTAATAAATAAAAATGCATTTCAATTTATTATGGCTAAACCAATGATTTAGGAAGCCCCTTGAATTTGCCTCACCCCGCTATTGGGGCTTTTTGGATATTATTTTTACTTTTTCAAAAAGTAAAATTTAAAAAAAATGATTATATTCTTAAAATTTTTATAAGGTACCTTTATAGAGTATAGTTTTAGGAGGTATCTAATCATATATTATTTTTTATATTATCTAAAAAAATCAGGAGCTAAATTTTGTAAAAATCGGTCCGACAACCCCAGTCTCCCCTACCTTATAATGTGGTAAATTGGTCCAGCAAGGAAATCGGTATAAATATTGGTTGTTAATTTTTTTTATTGATATTACACATTTAGTAAATAAAATTGAGATTTTTGTAAAAAAAAATACGAAGAAATAATTAATATGACCAACATTCAAAATCATTTCTATTTAATCATCCTTTTTTTATACTAATAAATTTATAATAAATTGCAACTGTATTAGATACGCGCCGAATTGACGTTGCGCCGAATTGTCGCCGCGCCGAATTGACGTTGCGCCGAATTGTCGCCGCGCCGAATTGACGTTGCGCCGAATTATCGCCGCGCCGAATTGACGTTGCGCCGAATTATCGCCGCGCCGAATTGACGTTGCGCCGAGTTGTCGCCGCGCTGAATTGACGATGCGTCGAATTGACGCCGCGCCGAGTTTTCTGTGCCGAATTGTCGTGCGCCGAATTTTCCGCGCCGAATTGACGTGGAACCACTGATGACAACCCTATATTGTTAAGTATTATTCCACTCGATTTTTATTCTATTATTACAAAACTATTGAATATCAATAAGAATGCAGTCGAATATAAAATATTTGCTAATTAAGATAGTACCAATAAGGGTTGCAAAGGCTGGCTTCTCAATAAATTCTAAGATCAACGAAAATCTTTATACTAGTAAAGTGTTTTTTAAAAGAATATGCCCTATTAATATATTCAATCGATAATAATTGTGACCCCTAGGTTAATTTTTTGTATATGTTTTTAGAATTTTATACAGGTGTATATTTAATTAAAATGTATATATATCATTTTTCAAAAAAATGAATACATATTTCATAAAGAAATAAGCTCAATGATAAAATTTGCAAGAGAGCCAACCCTTTTAAGTTCAACTTATTTTTCAAATTTTTTAAAGTCCTTTTAGGATAATAAAATCCAAAATAGATTTAAAATTTTGAGTATTAGCTAATTGATTAAAACATATGTGTAATTAAAAATATGAAAGAAAATGATAATAATTGTTGAATTCAAAAAAAATTATCCTTAGTTATATACAGTGTTGTTAAACGCTACTTTTAAAAGTACCGCGCTATCGCTACCGCTATTTTATAAAAAAAATAGCAGGCCATCGCTTCCGCTATCGTTTTCAAATGAATAGCGCGCTTACTTTTTACGCTATTTTGATTTTTTTTAAAATATTTTTTTGGCAACTTTATTTCCACAAATAAAATATTGGTATAAAAATATGACTATAATTTGTTACATATATATATATAATTTATTTATTATTGCCCTTTAATAATAATAACAACATTTCGGTACTGTCATCCCCAGTCTAGAGCGACGATCAGAAAGTATAAGCTATGCCATACTTAATAATCGTTCAGCACTATCGCAACGCAGTATTAAATTTAATAAACACTTTTTATATTTATCAAAATGAGTATTTTAAGATTTAAAAAAGCATCTAGAGGTTCAATATTAATATTATTTATTTCAAATAAATCGTCTAAAGGCCGCGGTTTCGAACTTGCTATAATATTAATATCGTGAGGCATGGCATTTTTTAACGTTACCATCAGCCTATCAAGTTGCCCTTTAGATTCAGTTTTAGATTTTTTGGATCAATCCAATGTGTGGTCACTCCTAAATAAGCTCTAAAAATATGAAATATTATTAATCAGAAAATAAACATTCCTTCTATTGTGCGTACAGCAATCTAATGTTGTACAGATGTAGGAGACATCTGATAGATTTAATATTAAAGATTCTTTCGTTCTAAAAAGCTATCCAAAATTCTTGCCATCAATGTCTGCCGGCAAACTATCTTGGTACGTGGAGAAAAAGTGTTTATCATCTTTATAAAAGAACCATTATCCATCAAGGATAATGGTTGAACAGTATCTATTAAGTTCATTATGACTTTGTCAGCCAATTTTTGAGATACACCTGGTGTTGATGAATCCAAATTGCTTAATTTTGTTTGAATTAAATTTGATTTGGAAGTGGATGTATCTCCTTCCATTACCCCAAAACTTTTGAGATATTTTTTAATCTCTTTATAATTTGAGGTGTGAAAAGTCTAAAATTATAACAGTAATACTTAGAATAAAAAATATGTAGGAGATAGTACATAAAAATGATTGAAATAACTATTTTAAAATGTTTTAAATAATTTAGATAAAATTGAATATATAAAAAAAATGTTTGGTCTTTGATTTAAATTTATTTAAAAAATTAAGAATTAGCCTACACATTGATATTAAATTTGTTTAATATATTAGCTTTAAATGTTTTTTCAAATTAAAGCTGCTTGTATGATTTGAGGATAAAATTTTGCGACACATCTTGCATCGAAACCGATATCCAGTAGTAAATTTTTCTTCAAGATTAAATTATTTTTTGAATTTTGGGAAAGGATAATCTATATTTTTCTCATTTTCCAAAGAAATTTCGCTATCTTCAACAATCTCACACATTTTTAATAACTAGATTTATAATGCTAACTAGATTTATAATGTATATTTTTAAATATAAATTTCAAAATTATATTAAATAAAAGGATTATCATTTTTAGATTTAATAAAAAATATATTTTAATAATTTTTAGATGTATTTATTATGTAAAATTGAAACTACTTTTTAAATTAGTAGCGAGCTACCGATATCGCTATTTTCTAAAAAAAGTAGCCCGCTAAAGCTACCGCTACTGAAAAAAGGTAGCGCGCTATTTTAACAACACTGATTATATATAATAAAGAGGAGACATGAATTGAATGAAGGGGTGTCTTTTAAAAGTAAAAGCTTGAAAATAAAATGATATATTTGAAGTGGAGATTTTAGCAACTTAATAAATGTCCATAGATATCTAATGACAATGTTTGCAAACGCTATTTTAAACATGCTAATCTTTATTCAATTTCAAAAACCACTATAGCTATAAATTAAAGTAAAACAAGTTCAAACCAATCAAAATATTATATAATATATGATTATAATCAGTAAGGGTGAAACATTGCTATAAAATGATTTAAAAAAAAAATTAAATTAGGTAAAAATAAATTTTTTTTAAAAATAATAAAAGAATGATAATAATTTTTTTATATCCAGATATATTCACCATTAAAAGATTTTGATGAATTTGCATGTTTTTATTATGGCCTATTCTTAGTTCGCGTTTGAAGTTGAATGAAGGCTAAAATTTTTTTAGTTATTATGTGTACGTCTATAAAAAATATCTTGGGAATCGAGAAGTTTTTAGTATGATTTTAGCGTGGATTCAGGTTTTATTGATAATGACATTTATATATTATATAATAATACAATATTCTAGGTTAGACAAGAAAAAATTTGATTTTTAAATTAATTTGAATCTTCCTATTTTTTATAATAATGAATTAAATACAATAGACACCAAAATAATAATTGTAAAATTATAGAGTAAAATAAAATATTATTCTTTCCATTTTGTTATCCTACTATATTAATGGCTCTAGCAACTTTAGCATACTCAATTGCTGGTTGTGTGACAGTTATAGGGGCAGCACGTCTAACCCTGTGTAAATCTTAATTTATTTTTTTGTCGAAAAATATTATTTATGAATATTATATAAAATAATATTACTGGAATTTATGTTACAATTTTAGAGATATCATTTTAAGGAGAATTAGGAAATTCAGGGTTGGCAAGTTTATCAATTGACCAATGAAATATGACAGAATGATCGTAAGCATATTTGACCAGTCAAATTTTGTAAATACGCTAAAATGTTATTTTTATGATTAAATATATCACAATAATTGTCATACACTTTGATAGAATTAAATAATAGTATAAAACGGTTTTACTCTGTAAAGATACCCAATAAATCTAACCCTTATTCCTAAAAAGTAATCTCAACAGAAAATGATTATATTTACAGTAATACTGATGAAAGATATAAAAAGAAATGATCATAACAGTTGAAGAAAAAAATCACTCCTTAGTTAAATAAATATAATAGATAGGAGACATGAATTGAATGAAGGGGGTTTTTTAGATGTAAAAGCTTGAAAATAAAATGATCCATTTGGAGTAGATATTTTAACAAATAGTTAATAAATGTCCATATATATATCTAATGACATCAATGTTTTCAAATGTTATTTTTAACACGCTAATCGTTATTCAATTACAAACCATTATAGCTATAAATTATAGTAAAATAAACTCGAACCATTCAAAATAGTATTAAAATATAAATATATGATTATAATTAATAAAGGTTAATTCTCTGGACCAATCGCTCTTAGCCCGGGGCTTTACTGTTAAAATGATAAAAAAATAATTAAATTAATTAAAAAACCAGCCGTATAGTTTTTTTTATTTATGAGGATGGTTTGAACCGGTTATTTTAAATTTATTATATTTATATAGATATACTTTGAAATACTGATTTGCATTGAGTAATTGATGAACAAGTCAAGGTTAGAGCAATTAATATCTAACATTAAATGGTATCAGTATATATAATATGAGTGTAGACCAACCAATATAAATCCGGAATTAATCTTTAACATTTTATATAACAAATTAAATTAGAAAATATCTATTGTAGTATTATTAAAATAATACAACAGAGTAAATTTCGCCTGAATTATCTATTTATATTATCAGTTGGTGTTGTCCTAATATAATAGTAAAAACGAATCATTAATTAATTTTTATTTTATTTATTGCAAAAAAATTTAAATCAAGGTTAGCTTCTTATAAATATAATGTTTATACGAATTAAAGAAATGTATGACCTTGAGAAAAAATGCCTACCAAATATCTTTACTTAATAAACCTTTAAAAGGTAATTAATAATTTTTCTAAATAATCTGCTTTTTAATGAAATTTCTAAGGGCCTAGTCCTGCAGATCTCTATGTGTTCCAACATAATACTATTTTCCCCCAATAGGACTTGTCAGAACTTTAACTTAAGTTGTTCGTCAAAATGCTAGATAAATTTAATCTCCATTTAAAAATAAAACCTATGTAAAAGGACAATAAGAGTTAATATAATTAGCTTTCGGGATAAAACATAGGTCAAAACAACGTGATAATATTCTTATTATATTTTCATAAATCGATTAATGAAGGTTACTCTTATTATGCTAATTTTTAACTATTTTAAAAAGACAAATATGCTTAAATTTGTTTTTAAACACTAATATTAATTACAAATTAAAATAGCCATTTGTTTTATAAAATAATAAAATTAGTTAGGTAAACAATATTAAAAAGATTAATGTTATAAGGTTATGAAATTAATGAGTTTATGTAAATCAGTAACAACAGGTTTAATTATTTTCGAATATTTTATTTTGGCAATATCAACGATATTAGAAAAGTTAAATCGTAATGCCTCAAGACATCGGTTGTTTGGAAATTGAACTTGATTCTGTAATAAACGGTTTTATAATTCACTAGCCCTCCTTTTTTTTAAAATTATATTGGTGCCCACCCGATGTTTAAAAATTATTTTTGTTGATTTCGTTCATTAATAAATGTAAGCCAGCCCTGCCTACTTTATGTTTTTAACCCCTACGGCTTTTGTTGCGCCCTGCCCGTTAAACCCTTTATATATTAATTACTGTATACCTCACTTAGTAGAGTATATAAATAATACACCTTTAATTTATCAGTGTACTATGGTAATTTAGTCAAATTAAGAAAACTTTTTTTTCCAATGACACAGATTTCTAACCCTCTTAGCATTACTAGATATAAGAAATTTGCAAAAAAGAAGTGTTCCTAGGTAGTGGTGCCCTCTATCATTAATGAATTTCATTATAGTTATGAAGAAATGGTATTTTTATTTTTACGACTCAAAAAATATAAATCAATTTTGCATTTAATAATGAAAGGAAAGAAGAGAACGAGCTGAAGTTCAAGTGTTTATGTCGTAAACAATTTCAAAGTGATAAATTATTTTATCAGTTATGTATGTGAGCAGCTGTCAACCCCATATTTTATTTATTGCAGATTATCTGCAATTCAGGAGAGGACTGGCCATAAATCTGCCATTTTGTGGAAGTAAAAAAAATTCATTTTTGAAGCCGATCTAGGTAAAAAGAATAAAAGTGGAGGAGCTTTCCTTTATCATATATCATATATTAGTTATTTATATTTTCTTATTTAGCATTTGGAATATCATATCAATACATTAAATTTAGGATCAGATGAATTAACTTTACCATGACTAAATATATTAAATACTTTACAGTAAGTCCTTACCAGAATGTAAAATCTATTAATTGTAATATTTTTTTAATATAATATAGCTATAATTAGTCCAATAGTAACTCATTTTTGGATAATTGTATTTCATACAATTTTTGGGAGCAAAGCATAAAACGATAAATATTTAAAATAAATTTCCTTTCTAAAAGAGTTATTTATAAAGTAATGCAATACCCTCATCTCCTCCTATAGAGAGTGTTTTTAGTGTGAAGTGCCTACTAATTGCCAAGCGATCCTGTCTATCAGATTAAACTATTAATTTTAAACATGGCTAATATATTGTATTATGAATATAAGAAATTTATTTATAATAAATTAAATATTAAATGAAATTTAAAAAAATCTTTTCATAAAATTTTGAGCCAATGAACACGACCATTTTTGAAGGTTATCGTTGAACGCGAATGCATTCAATTTTGTCAATGAAGGTTGAACGTTAACACGTTTGATTTTTTTTAGAAATGTTTATAGCATTACATTTTTCAATAGGAGCAATGGTGGGAAAAGCCTGACCAGCTTGGCCCGTTAAGAATATTTGTTCCAGGTCATGCCGGTTAAATTTTTTCCCAGCAGTTAATATTTTTTAAATTATCCGGCCCGGCCCGATTCGTTAAAAATTTGCGAAAAAGCTGCCTGAGCCAGTTAAAAATTTTTATTTCGGTTTTTCCAGCTATCAGATCTTAATATATATAATTTCTCCCTTAACTAAGGCGCATTTGAAATTCAAAATAAATATATTAAATTTTTAATGCCAGGGCGGGCTTATTATAATTTAACGACAATGAGATTTATGAGGTCCTGTCAGATTTTTTTATGTAAAAATTATCTGACACGACTTAAATTTACGGCCTGGCCTGCGGGCCGGGCTTTTGTGTAAGGAACGGGCTGAGCTTTGCAGATATCTAATACCAGCATTTATTTGCTCAAGACTTCCCAGACTGCTTAATATCCTACATATATATTCTTCTAGATAAACCCTTACCTCTGTTCTCGAGTTCTTGGGATGCTAAAATCTTCAATTCTCATCTCCCCTCTACATGTTTACAAAGTATATAAGATTTTCCTTTTGTTGAACGTTCCACTGAATTTCTATTTTACCTACAACCAACAGGATTGACAACTTTCACTTTCCAACTTTGACAGTGGCTATAAATGGATTCAAGCTCAATCTTCATTTATTTCCTGGTTAATTATTGGTCTTAACCCGGTTTGCTTCATAGTTTCTCCTATCATCTGTTCTCTTTATCATTGCAATGTTTACGTTAAAAAAATGGACACATTACAATGTCGATTTTCGAAAGGCCGCAATCCTAGTATAAAGCAACATTCTTTTATTTGAGTCCTTAGGTCTTAATACTTCAAAAGATAAGAGACATACTATTTCATGGGAAAGAAGTATTCCTCTTACTTGGGCTTCTGTTGTTAAAAAACATAATTTAGGTCGATTTAGAAAACGGCCTGATTAAGATTTTAGCTAAAATAGTTTTATACCATTAATTCTGCTAAATATTAATATTAAAAATTTTGTATTCATGAAATTATTTAATTTATCGCTTCATAAATATTGGGAGCTATTTATATCAAAATATCATACTAGATTTTGAAATCTCATAGATTATAATCACATGTGACACCTTAATCTAGATGTAATTTGCAAATTGTTTTTATTAAAAATATAAATAGGAAAAGGCAGATCCATTATATGATTTTCCAAAGCTATATAATATAGTTTAAAATTATTTTGAAAATTTCTGCCTGGGTTTTGTAAAAAAATATATATTTAAGCTCATCCCTTATTTTGTTGACCGGATTTGCGGAGCTGTGAGTTTCCGAGCTTTAATTTTCTCATCCTTTATTATAATTTTGTTAGATCTTATTCTCAAATTTAAAAACGTTTACTTTATGAAATATATGAATCCCTTCCTCCCCCTTCTTTTCCAACGCTTTTCTTAATATTTGAAAATTATTCTGTAATAACAAAACTATTTGATAAATTTTGATTTATATACTATTATTTTATTGATTTCTTAATTATGAATTTTTACAATAATTTGATGCGTGTTCAACTCAGCTTGAAATTTAGTAAAATTATTAATAAGCCCAGGGTACTTCCAGAGAAAATGTTTTTTTTTTCGAAACAAATATAACCTGTATTATTTTTTTTCATTTTGAAAAATGTCTGGTTTGGAATTGGTCATATATCTATTTATATAGTATTGAGATATGGGAATCCGTGGAGATTAAAAATCTACCGTGGGGGATTTCGAAATTTTTAAAAAGGGATTTAGTCGAAAATGTACTCCAGCGCATGTTGAAAAGTATCTACCCTATAAATTTCAGACAATTTTTGCAAAACTTGAGTATATTTTTAATTTATATAAAAATTTCATATAAAAAATCAATATAAATTAAGAATAATTCTAATGTTTATAGCATGCCGAAATACAATTTCCGTTAAATCAGATTTTTAATTTAAAATCGTCCTTAGTAAATAATTCAAAATAGAAATATTCTAAAATCCCATGGATTCCATATCCCAATAAGACAATTTAGACAGGAAAGAATGATCTTTTATTAATTATTTTCACATTTTTTGTATTATACAATAGACACAAAAATAATAATTAAAATACTTTTGTATAAAATAAGATTTTGGTTATAAAATAAAATTTTATTCTTTCCTCCTTTTTAACCCTGTATTATATTAAAGATTTTCAATAAATCATAATAATCGATTGTTGTCTGTTCGACACGTGTATCTATATTTATTTTTTATTAAAAAATATTAATATTAACATAGATAAATAATAAAAAAATATTAATAACACTTAACTTTATGCTATAATTTGAGGTGTCATTTTAAAGATAATCAGGGATACAAGGTTGGCAAGTAGGCCAATTGGACAGTCAAAATCAATCAATTGACCCAAAGCATGTTTGGAAATACAATATGATTAAAAATGTTATTTTTGTGATTTAATTCACATATTAGTTTCACAGATGAAATGGAATAAAATTATCAACCAGTTTTACTATTTTGTCCGGCCTTAATTAAGATAGCTAAACAAATCTGACCCTTAATTTTATAACAATATTAATAAAATATTAGTATTTCAAATCTGACAACCCTCTACTCTTGCCAAGTGAAGTCACATAGTTTTATTTTTATTCCATTATAATACTCTTGACAAACAAAAAGAAAGCAATCTATGAATTCTGAATAAATTCTTTAAACAAGAATATGCCCTTAACCCTCGATATCTGAATCAACAACGCGATAATAACATACACAACTCTCTGAATTTTCTATGCTATGCCGATGATGTATGCATATTCGCGAACTCTGAGTACAATTAAGAAACTTGCTGTCATTATT